TAGCATTCACTATCAAATTTAAAAGTCATAGCATGAAAACTATAACAAGTACACAATTATTGCAACCACCGAAAATAATTCAAAACTACTAATGGACTAGGATAGAAAAAAAAAAACAGAATAAATGAAGATGGAGATTATATAAAAACAGTTTAGGATGTAAAGTTATAATTATAAAAAAATGTGAAGATAAATAGCAAGCACAGCCAATTCCACAATCAATGTTGTGGTCTGGAGGAAAGGGTGAAGGAGGATTAAAATATGCTATTTTTGAATGAAGTATAGTGTATTTTAACTGTAATACTTGGATATACATGCAGATTTAATATTAAGTTTACAAATATAGGAATCACTACTTCGTCAAACCATAACCAGCAGAATTTCTTTTTGCCACCATTGTCAATCTCTCTTAGCTTGTGTGCATTTTCAACACCAACTTTCAGCAGTATTTTCATCTCAAAATCAATGCAACAAAAACATATCCACTGGTTTTAATATGATTCTAATTCTACCAAAAAGAGCCAAGCTCAATCTAAAAAAAGACTGTTTGCCATTGGTTAACTCTCGCACTATGGGCTCAGTCCTAGGGACTGATCTTATATCCATTTTGTGCTTGTTATAGTTTTAATACAGTATGCGTAACTTCATGAAATTTTGCAGATTATCAGCAAATGTTATAAGGCTTTAATGCACAAAAGATACGATTTGCTCATGCATTTTTTCCTTTTGATGTCCACAATTCAACATGCAAAGTAATTTTGATTTTACGATTAAAAATATTTTTATACATCAGAAAATTGTCAAATTTTATATGTAAAATCTTTATGACCTCCAGATAATTATAAAATATTTTATTTTAGAAAAAACCTTATATTTTATCTGTTATTTTCACTATTGCATCTCTGTACGGGTTTGGTTGATTTAATCAATCTTGTAACCACCATAAAAAAATTAGGAAATAGATATAAATTATGCTTTTTTTCATTCTTCAAATTATAACATAAAACCATAAATGTTCAGTCTAAATAGCTTAAATCTCATAACATTATACATCTATACATATTAATTATTTTTATTTTATTTTCCTTTCAGCCATGTCTGACTAACATTACAGAAGTTGCAATAATGTGGCAAACGTGCAATGATGTTACCATATCCTGGCTTTGTTCTAGTGGACCAGTAATTTGTAAAATTCAGTAACATTTCAGTTATAGTACATTACATATGCATATATATTATTACTATTTACAAAAAAAAACAAAAAAACAACATAGAACAGTAAATGAATAAGTACAGAAAACAATGATTTCTTCAACTTAGGAACTTTGTACTCGCTTGCCGTAATTTGCCTTGTCAAATTTTGCACGTGGAGGATGTAAAACAATAATTTTTAGGTTTCATATATGCATTGTGAAATAACAAAAAATCATATATTATTATATCAATACCACAGAATTCCACAGGAATTTATCAGGCTTAGTAAGCAAGCTGTATTTGGATCTAAATAAATATGATAGTTTGAGCTCCTACCTTTCTGCTTCAATTCTACCATGAAAAGAAAGATTTTCCTGTGTAAACACTTCACAGAGTGTGAGAAAACCATGTAGGGGACATTCTGAGCTTT